TTGACATAAATCTACCGCTACTAAACCTCTAGACGACAAGTAAGGACAAAATGAGACGAAAAAAACAACACAAAGCTAGCTTAGTTAAACGTAAATGCCAATATCTTCTTTAAATATAACCAACTATTATAAGTGTAAATGTTTAATGCTACTTGATAAATGCATAAGTTAATTTATTCCCAAACTTGTTAATAATTAGTTCATTAATCATGTTAGTAATAATACATACTACTTAGGGATTATTTTATTTTTAGGATGGTGTTACAAAAGTGAAATTCAGGCATAGATAATATTTTTAATTGAATATATTCAGTTCCCATTTGCTCATAGGTCCTTAATTTTTTTTCATTAATGGTCCTTAAAAGTACTTAATTTCCATATGCAGAAATGTGTATGAACCCTGTAAAAAGTAATCTGTGATTATTTATTGAATAAAAAGTGATGTGTTTCGTATAACTTATGTCAGAATGGTCACTGCTATTTTAGCAGGATCTCCACGAACTTTTGTGTGCTTTAGTAGCATGACAAATATCCAGACATTATTTATGTTATGAATACTTATTACATTCCACATTGTTTAAAGCATGCTTTTGTATCTGCAATCACAGAATGTATAATTGGCTTTTAGGTGCCAAAGATTATTAATTATTATTTAGCTGTACAATGCACTTCATTAACACTTATTATTATTTAAACACTAATTATTATTTAGCTGTACAGTGCACTTCATTAACTCTTTGCATTGTCAGATAGGCTTTTGAAAAAAAAATCTTTTGAATGAAATTTTTATCTTTCTAACATTTGTTGAATTTTTAAAAATATCTAAATTTTCTCAATTTTTTGACATTTATTTTAAAATTTCAACATTAAAAAATGTATTATAACAGTAAGTTTTGAATTATTATTTTCTTTTAGATATAAATAATTCTAATACTGCAATAAAAGACTTTATGCAGCTTACTAGTTCATGAAAAATAAAAATTGCTTCTTCTGGACCTGTCAGTTTGAATCTACTTTATATTTGTCCCACAACTATAATTATTTCCATGTCAAAAATTAACTCTGCATTAATAAAATAATGTCTGTGATATTAATTTATTTCAAACACTTGTAAGTATATGGTAATATCGATTTGTAAGTGTACGGTAATATTGATTTAGTACAATGTTTATGGTCTGTAGCAGTGTGTCCTTGCTATGCACACATTGTGCCAATTTTCTGCCAATGCACACACTCTGCCAATTTTACAAATTTTTCATAATTTTTATGAAAACTTTTAAGCTTATGACTTAATTGTGAAATTTATTTTTGTGAATTAGCAGTATTATCAGAAAATCACTAAATCAAATTTATTAGCAACAAAATTAATTTACTCTCACATTCGTAGAAGATTATGTCAAATTGTACCTAATTTCATTTTTAAATATGTTGACTGGGAATTAATTTTGCTGGTATTAAGTCAGTGCTTCTCATTTAATATCATATAACTTACCACTGTGTTATTTCTACAGATATGGTGATAGCCCTTTTCTGTCTCGATCTTCATCTGACCGGTTAAATGATGTAACTGCCAAAGGGTCATGGATCAATGAAAAACTAGAAAAGAGATCTCCTATAGATACCATGATTTCATCATCAAAAGATGCCAGGTGAGTTTAATTCTTTTATATTTCTTTTTCATATCTGTACGAGAGCTGTCTGAAAAGTTTCCGACCTCGATATGTAAATGGCAATACTAACCAATGAAAGTGTGGGGACTTGTTTGGGTGTTTTTTGGAAAACCCCGATCCACAATTTCAGCCATTTTGACTGCAAGGTTTTTGTTTAACAGTAATTTCTGTGAGTTGATGTGACTGTTTTTGTAAAAATGGAAAAAAATCGAGTATCGAGCTGTCATTAGGTACTTGTTTTTAAAAGGTAAAATGTGTACACAGAGATTAAAGAGGAGATGGGCACTGTGTCTGGGGACTCTGCATCATCATTTACTACTGTGAAATTTTGGGCAGCTGAATTTAAACGAGGCCTACCAGCTTGGGGGACGATAAACGTTCAGGACGGCCAAAAACTGCAACCACTGATGAAAACATCGCTAAAATTCACCAAATTGTGCTGAATGACCGTTGAGTCAAGATTAGAGAGATAGCAAATGCTATGAGCATGTCAAATGACGTTTGCCACATATTGAACCAAGAATTTGGTATATGCAAGCTGGCTGTATGTTGGGTGCTGCATTTGCTTACTTTGGACCAAAAACATGTTCGAATGAACATTTGCACTGCTCTGTTGGCGCAATTCAGGTATAATAAATTGGAGTTTCTTCGACTGTAGATGAAACCTGGATTCATCATTACAGCCCAGAAACAAAAACACAGTCAAAACAGTGGATGACAAAGGGAGAATCTGCTCCAAAAAAAAAGGCAAAAACTATTTCTTTTGCTGGGAAAATGATGGCAACGGTTTTCTAGAATAGCCATGGAAATTTCTTAATGGATTATCTTGAAAAGGGGAAAAACCCTTACCGGAACATACTATGCAACACTACGTGACAAGCTAAAGGCAGAAATTGTGGAAAAAAGGCCACATTCGCAAAAGAAAAAAATTTTGTTTCACCAAGACAATACTCCACATCTCAGCAGTTGCGATGCCGAAAATCTTCGAATTATGGTTTGAACTGCTTCACCATCTGTCCTACTCACCAGACCTGGCCCCAAGTAACTTTTTTTTTTTTTCCCCCTAAGCTAAAAGAAGCACTTGGAGGACAAAGATTTTCGTCAAATGAGGAGGTTGTGAACTTCGTTAATAATTATTTTGCAGAGAAAGCTTCCACATATTATTTGGATGGATTAAAAGGATGGGAGCATCACTGAGAGAAATGTATAGACTTATAAGGAGACTATGTCGAAAAGTAAAAGTAATTTTAGAGAAAAAAAAAATTTTTTTTCTTTGTTAGGTTGGAAACTTTTCAGACAGCTCTTGTACTAAACCACGTATAATTTTCTTGCTGAAAATATATATTCAAAATCGTGATAAACATTTTGACTTACAATTATATTAAATCTTGAGTAATTAAAAGACTCAGTTTTATTTTTTGTGATTTACTCTTAGTCTATTTTGAAATTTTCTCCACAGTAACAGACCAAGAAAATCTGCTTCAGCATCTAACATTGGCAATTCTGATGAAGCTCAAAAAAAATTTGGAAATGCTAAAGGAATATCTTCAGAACAGTTTTTTGGAAACTCTAAAGACACTGAGGTATCAGCATGTTTATAAATTTTGAATTGACTGCTCCATTAAAAAAGAGAGATTAGCAGGGAAATTTTTATTAGCATGATTCTTTATAAAAAGCAATTCTTAAAAATCTGCAAGAAATTTTTATATTTTTTATATATTATATGTATATAACACATTGGATTTTCAGTTATTAGATTATCAATATAATATACTAAGTGACTAGAGGAATTATAAATTAAAAAATGAAAAAGTGATTTATGAATAATAAACCTTCAGCCTTAGGGACTCAATATTATTTGGGGGGGGGTACATTCCTCCCCCCCCCAAAAAAAGCTAACAATTTATTTCCTTTTTAATGTAGCTGTTTTAATATACTCTTTTTTTACCCAAAGGGGCATTATTTGCCAGAAGGGCTATATTATTGATTTTGTGTTGGTTCACTATAAACGTGTTTCACTTTTCAAATTGTCGCCACCTAATATTATCGCCCTGTATTGTATTAAAAAATTAAATAATGAAGAAACTGCATGAATGTATGTGTACTTCTTGCACTGTAAAAAACTAGTGGTGCCAAGAGACATCAAATTTTGAATAAGGTAGTCCTTCACTCGAATATGGACATCCGGAAGCCCAAATTTGGATTCAGGATTTGTTTTATTATCCATTTCATATTTTGTAAAGTTTTGATGAATTTTTGATAACACTCAATGATTTCAAAATGAGAATTGACAACTCTGTACCGGAGGGGGAGGATTATCTCCACATGACGACTGTGTATCAGAAATTCTGAAGATATGCTCTTTTAAAATTTTTTTGTCATAATGCTGTTGAATTCAATTTTATAGTTTAAGTGTGAAGAACATGATATTTAATAAAAAAGGTAACACGCAAAATGTGAAGTTAAAAAAATGCCACTGTGGGCATAATGTAAATAATCACACTTTGCGTGATTGTTCATGTTAAAAAAATGCCACTGTGGGCATAATGTAAAATCTGAAATCTTTCAGATTTTATACATATATATATATATATATCCCCCTCCTCTATTGCTAATACATTCTCTTTAATTCTACAGATAGACGTAATTTGTTAAGTTACAAACTTCTCATCATTCAAGTCTTGTAATTGTTGCATAGAAAATTCACGCTTAGCTGTCAGTCAAAACTTTTTTATTCTCTCCAGTCTCTTGGTCACTTTCTTCAAAATTGATAGTGATATTTGATTTAGAACCATATTACAGATTTTGCCATCCATTAGTTAATTGCTGATTGGGTCACTGTCATCGCGGTGAAACACTTCTGTTATATCATCTTCATTTAATACGCCTTCTTCGCAAATTCCAGTAATTGGAAATTTTTCCTTTTTGTTTGCGATATTTGAAACCTTCAAATTTATGGCTATCATCATAAAACTTAGCTAGCATCTGCTATGCGCTATTGTCAGTGTGTCATGAGATTGCTAAGTAGAAGCATGTTTTTCACTAAATTTTCTTTCGTTTCAATCTCATGCTGAGGAAGTTAGGCCAGAATTTTATTAGTTATTTATGATACTTGCATCTGTTTTCTGCATATGCGTAAGGCTTATCCAAGACAAATGCTAGTCATTTTGTTATCTCTGTGGGTCCAAAAATCTGCTGCTTAATGCCTCTCTAAATTCTAGAAATTTTGTATCCCCTAAATTCTAAAGATTTTCTCATCCCTTAATATTGTTCAGTGTTTCTCCAAGTTCTAAAAATTTTGCTTCCCATAAATTCTGCTGCCCGTCATGGCCTCATCAACTCAGGCATCAATCTGGGGCTTAAATGAATAACAATCAGTTATTCTCAATTCAAACAGCACTAAATGTAATCATTTGGCCTATGAGTACTATTTACAAAATCAATTTTTTGGATATGGTAAGAAATTTCTGTTAAATTTCTCCTCGTCAACATACTTAACACTTTACAGCAGAATTAGCTGAAATCTGTAACCCTAGCCAAGCATAATAGGTTATCATGCTGTTTGGTATTCAATTACTGATATTAAAAAAATAAATAAATAAATAGATTCTGGCATTTCCAAGTTTCACTGTGTTATAGTCGTGTTATGTGAAATCAAAAAGTATAAATATATTCCCAGTTGGTGTCAGTGTCAAAGGGAAATAAGATCTTACATTTATATGTAATTTTTGAAAAATGTCAAATGTAAGCATAAAAAAAAAAAAAAAAAAAAAAAAAAAAAAAAAAAAAAAAAACTAAAGAAAGATATGTGACTGGTGGTTTGGATTTGATCATTCCACATATTGGACTTTATATATATATATATATATTTTATTTATTTATTTTGTCTATTAATATAGTACATTCCACAAAGCTAAAAACCGATACTCGATTCAAGAGTGATGTATACAGATATCCAATCACCACTGATTATGATAATAATAATAATATAATACTAATAATAATAATAAAGAGTTCTAAAAATAGTATCCTTTATGGTTTTCACTGAATTAGGCTGAGTGGTAAAATCTTCCCTTGTTTCAGAAGGAAATCATTTGTGATCTTCTGCATCCTTTTATATTTCATAACCAAAAATCTTTTGTTATCCACAAACAGTTAAAATGGTTTAACTCTGTTATCAAAGTTTGTGCTTCCCTTTTATCCTAATTTTTAAAAATATAATTTTATTGATGTGCATGTTCTTTCTGTCAGTATGTTCTTTTTTAATCTTTAATCTCACTTTTTCCCAATTCTACCTAACATCTTTTTTTCTCAAGTTTGAAAGGAAAGCAAATTTAACGAGGTTTGAAGGCTCCAGCAGTATAAGCAGTGAAGACTATTTTGGGGGTGACTCTAGGAGAAGTGCAAGTGCCTCTTCATATGCTTCACCCAATCTATATGATATAAAAGAAGGTGTTAAAGATGGAGTGACCAAAGTAGCTGGACGTTTATCTAGTATAGCCAATGGAGTTATGAGTTCTTTACAGGTGAAAGTCTTACCATACTTTCATGATGGGGTTTCTGAATTCTAAATAACATACTTGCTTCATTTTATTCTTGCATGTGTTTCAAGTAACTTACTTCTAACACTGCATGCAGTACTAACATAATGTAATATCCTTTTTTCAGCGTAAATGAAATGCCTGTGAGGGCTCTTGCTTGTTGAAAATCTCCTGGTAAGGAGCTCTTTGCTCTAAATTAAGCTGTTGTGTTGTGTTTTCCCATGCCTTAGCTTCTAGATCAGATTTCTTATTCTGCTATGTCACTAAATTGATTGAATATGATAATTTAATCATATAGATAGGTTTTAAAATCTAATTTCATCTCTCAAAGAAATGCAGTGATTCTTTTACAAAGCAAGATAGTTATTAACCACATTTTCCAACTATAATATTATAGACATAAGTACAATAACTGTATCATAGCTATAACTAACATTAATAAAAATGAATAAATAAATGTAAATGCTGTTACTGTGCACATTGATTAGCTGCTACGTTATTAGAGCTATTTTATCCCAAGGGAAAAACATTATTTTATTAAAAAATATTTATGTTTAATATTAGTTTAGGGAAATGTATTAAACTGTGTTAACTATTATCTTTTGCCTAATCAATCAATCATTTACATCCCATTAAAAAACTTGCATAAAAATTATCACTTTTTATATTTTCTTATAAATATAGTAATAATATAAATTATAGTAAGGAATAATTGCTATTTTGAAGATGGAAATGAGTTAAATACTTCAAAAGTATTATATCTTTGTAGAACTGCCGATATGATAGTTGTCAAAGAAAATGTGTAGTGTACTGTGAAAGCAAAAACAAAAATAAAATTGATAAATTTCTGAACTCTAAATTTCCAAAAAAATCAAATTTTGTCCTCTCCAGTGAAACATGATTTTGATCATATAGCCATAGTCTGTTTAGTTCTTTCATAAAATTAAATTTTTAAAACAGTTTAAATGCCTTTATAGCATCAATTTAATATTCTGTGTATTCTGGTGTAATTTTTTTTTTTAAGCTAACTGAGCATAATCTTATCCATATTGTTCTCATCGATTAAGAGTCCAACTGAGTAAAAGAAATTTGATAATTTTATATGAAATTGAAGTCCCTATGTCAGGGCCCGTCCATATGGAAGCTTTTGTGTTTTATCCTTTGTAATTTAACCCTCTGAGTTCCACGAGATTTTGAACCTCCTCGTGAAGACCTGTATTAAAACAGCATTTACTAGTTAAATTTGTATAATTACTTATTTTAGTCTCTCTTTTCATAAACTTCCATTTATTAAGGTGATATTTACATCAGTAAAGAAAGCAAAATATTCTAAATTATAAACTAATATATAGCAGAAGACAAAAAAAAAAAAATCTCATGACTGGATAAAGGCATTCATGCTACTCAGGGGGTTAAAATGATTATTTTCCTGTTCCTAACATAAGTACTATTGCTTTGAAAGTCTTCCTTTCATACCTTCCTATCCAAAGCAAGTAGTGTGATAACTTTTGCTTAATTAATTTAATTGGTTTCTCACATAGCAAATGTAATCTTTTCTATGATGGTGTCCATCATGTGGGGTGCTGTTTCTTGTAAGTTACAGTCAAAAGTCGTTAATCCGGCCTCGTCGGGACTTCGGCGATTCCGGATTATAGATCATCAGTTTAAATCTGGTAAAATGGCATGCAGAAATTATAAAATTAAAAATATGAAACCGTAATTTACAAAATAAAGAACAATTATGATCTAAAGGGTATCAAAATTTACAAAAAAAAAAAAAAAAAAAAAAAAAAAAAAGAGCTTAATATTTATTTGTTTACTTTTTTAAACATTTCTTTCAATGTAAGTTGTTTAAGTTGCTTTGTTTCTTATGTGATAATACATTCTCTTTAATTCTATAAACAGACATGTTTCTTGTTCAGTTACAAGTTCCGCTGTTCAAGTCCTATAATTGCTTTGTCGAGAATACCGACTAATTTGAAAATCGAAATTTTTTCGTTTTCAATACTTTCTGTCACTTTCTTCGCTATCGGAAGCGAATTATAATGACTAGGCATTTGATTTAAATCATATCAAAGACGGAGTACATTGAGATAAAATACTACATTTAGTAAGCAATTATAAGCCAAATAAAATAAAAATATCTGCCTTGAAGATAAGGATAGTGCTGACAGATCAACTTCCAATTCATTACGCACCACCACAGCGTTAAAGATAAACAAAGTTTAGATAAACAAAGGTTATGCCTTTATCCATTTTTTGCAGCAATTCCACTTTTTGTTTAATGGACTCCCGAAACATACTTTCGCTTTGTAGATCTTTTACATATTAGTAAATATATATCGGAAATTCTATTTGACATAATTGAAAGTTCAAGCTTACTTTTATAAAATTGCTCTAACAGGCTGCAAAAAATAATAAGCCGGATCCAATTCGAAGATTAAGGAACAACGCAATCTGCAACATTAACTGAAATAGATAATTAGATAATTTTAGCTTAGCTTATACCGTCCGTTATACATTAAACGCGCATTTGTAAACGTATTTTGTGCACGCGCACATGCAAATTCGCAGCCGTAAAGGTCTTACGCGATGCATGTGCAGAAAGTTTGTAGCTTTGAGGTCCGGATTATGGGTGTCTTTTGACTGTATTATGGATATATCTTTAAAATGTTCCTGTGCTAATTGAAAAATAACATAAAATAAATGAGGACAGAGGCACTTAAAAAGTCATCAAAGTTGAAAATGCTAGGAATTTACTATTTTATTTATTATTAAAATAGGTACTTCTCCATTAAAGTCATATAATGTATTTTCATTTCTATGTTGGTGCAGTATGGACTTCACTATATATTGGTTTCATACCAGACAAAATGCAATGATTGTAAATAGCAAGAATGAAAAATTCTCAAATTTTTCAACATAATACTCAAAACTAACTTCTTTTTCTTGAATGACTAAGTTTTCATAAACCATTAATTTTAATGTTAGGATGAGGTAATAAAAAAGTCTAATGTGAACACCACAAGACTTCTTTGTACGGCCTGTTAAATTATATACATTATTTGCTGTATTCCATTTAAACTTATTTCCTTGAATTTCATTACAGATATATTTCTCATTCAATTAATTCAGTTCTCATTCCATGGCAAGGCAAAAATACTTAAAACATTAAAAAAATCTTCATTGAAAATTGAAAAGTATAGAAAAACATAAAACACCATTGAAAAATAGTGTTTAAAATTAAAATTAGAGTTTCTGTGTAAAAACAAGCAACTGAGCCAGTGGGTAAGAAGGCAGATTTTTCAGTGCACAAAAGCTGAAAATTTACTTTTGTCCCCTCTTGACAAAAAGACATCGAAGGTGCAGAAACTGACATAATTCACTATTCTGCAAACTTTCAAATATAAACAAATATGGCTGCTTCGTTAGGCATAGCTGCATTTAAACAACTTTTAAATTGTTGATAATTCTACAACTATTGCATGCAGATTAAGTAAAGGCATAAAACCTTAACCAGAGTGTAAGAACAACATAATTCAATAATTTTTAGAGCAAAAAGTGCACAGTTTATCAACATATATAAGAAGAGTAAAAAGAACTAAGCTCACCACGCGGAGTAACAGAGTAGATATATATATCTATATATACGAGGCACGTTCAGAAAGTAAGTTCCGTTTCAATTTATCTCCGCTGCAGCTCTGCGATCGCAGTTCCGCACATGCGCAGTAGATACTCTGTATCAAGGAGAAGAAACGCGCGCCATTTGGAGATCACTGTCAGTCACGTATGCTTTGTTGTGCTTGTTTATAATGTCGGTGTTTATTGAAAATCCCGCCGCTTGTGAAATCAGATCTGTGATTCGTTTTCTGAATGCGAGGAAAGTGAAACCTAGTTAAATTTATCGGCAAATTTGCGATGTTTACAGGCCAAAAAGTGATGAGTGATTCGAAAGTTCAATGACGGACGTAGTGATGTGCACGATGAAGAACAAAGTGGGCGTCCATCTTTGGTTACAGAAGAACTGGTTCACGCGATTGATGACAAGATCCATGAAAACTGAAGGTTTACAATTAGTGCTCTCGCTATGGAATTTCCCCAAATTTCACGATCATTAATGCATGAAATTGTTACCGAAAAACTGAAATTTCGTAAACTTTGCTCACGTTGGGTATCAAAGATTCTTACTGAGCAACACAAAACAAAACGGATGGGTACCAAAGATTCTTACTGAGCAACAAAAAACAAAACGGATGGGTAGTGCACTTCAGTTTTTGACCCATTATGCTGAAAGCGGCGAAGAATTTCTGACACAGATAGTCACAGGAGATGAAACTTGGGTTTCTTACGACACCCCTGAAAGTAAGCGGCAATCAATGGAATGGAGGCACACTTCATCCCCAGCAAAGGTTAAGCCAAAGCAAATCTTGACACCTCGAAAAATGATGTGCCCAGTGTTCTGGGACTGGAAAGGCATCTTACTCATTGATTTCTTACCGCGTGGTCAAACAATCAGAGCAGATGCTTATTCCGAGACACTTCGGAAATTGCGCTGCGCAATACAGAATAAGCGCCGAGGATTGCTGTCAAGAGGTGTTGTTTTTCTTCACGACAACGCACGACCACACACTGCAAATGTGACGAAAAACCTCCTACAGGGATTTGGCTGGGACATGTTTGACCATCCTCCGTACAGCCCTGACCTCGCTCCTAGCGACTTTCATCTGTTCTTACATCTTAAGTCTTTCCTTGGCGGTCAACACTTGAACAATGACGACGAGCTGAAAGAAACTGTATCCAACTGGTTGAAGATGCAGGTGGCAAATTTCTAGGAAGAAGGTATACAAAAACTTGTGCCACGCTATGACAAATGCCTGCAATATTTCGGCAGTTATGTGGAAAAGTAGTTTAAGAGTTGTTGAATTTTGTGCAATAAATAACTTTTCTGTAGCTGTACACAATTTACTTTTATTACCAAACGGAACTTACTTTCTGGACGTACATTGTATTTATATACTTTTGGTGCGACCGTTGCAACCAAAAAGGGAGGTGCACAATTGTATGTTATAGCAGCCCTATGTACAAAATATCAATGTTCTATGGCTAATTGTTTTTGAGTTATGCAAGATATGTACAAATAAATGTATTGAAAAAATCTCTTCTTAATCCATTTAAAATTGGTTTTGGGAAAAAGAAACCTTTATTCTGTCCTGCGTACATATGTCATACAAAAACATCGTTCAATTTCATTCGATGCAGTCAAAATGGATATTTCCTTTGAAATATCATAACTGAAATTTTTCCTAGTTGCAATAGTTTCTTTACTTCATACAAGGAAGTAAAAATTGGCATATGTCTCTCTTATATAATTATTTCAATCTGCCAATTCTTGTGTTTCATTCAAAGCAAGCTTTGGTTCTCAAAATTCAATAGATGTTAACTCCTGACCAGTAGCATAGCTAGGGTGGAGTGACGTCTGTCCCCAGGCACTACATCCAGGAGCACCAAACTGATGTTACAAAATTTCAGAATGAAATGTTTTCCATTCTTGGCAAACAGGAGGAGGGGCAAAATCTTCCTTTGTCCTCAGCCACTGAAAATCCCAATTACGTGTATTCCCCTGACACAAAAAATAAACAAACCATATGATAGTAGCAAAAGAAATATGCAATCAAAAAAAAAAAAAATCTTTTTTTCCCTAGCATAAACAAAGATTGCTTAGCCATTTCAGTTTCAAGATTCATTTTAATTAAGTGGTTATTGAAAAACAGTCTTCTTTTCTTTTTTTTGGGGGGGGTCAAGATCTCCCCCCCCCAAAAAAAAAAAACTTTGTCTTTTGGTTACTTTCAAGCCAAAGAAACCACTGCAGAGGGTTTTTTTTTTTTAAAGTTATATGGTTTTATTGGAAAAATACCTAAAGATATTTATGTACATTATATATGCACACAGTTCAATTTTTAAATTAAACATAGGCTTCTTATGCATCTGTTTTTGGTTTTATGGAAAGTGTCAGTTTAAAAAAAGTTATTAAAAGTCAAAGAGGTCTTCCTTAAGATCATCTTGAAGGTGTGCTTGGCATTTCCACTGAGCTGATCAGCTTCTGTGTTTATTTCAGCTTATTGTTATGTCAGTGCTTGACTGTAACCTGGACCTCTTCCCACTTCTAATTAAGTAAAACAGAATCAGTCTAACTTTTGCTTATCTGAAAGTTCTTGAGAGCTGTATTGGCATGGACTATTTGTGTATTCATCTTAGAAGAAACTTTCTTATATTCCTGGTTTAGGAGGGCTTGCAGTTCCTCAGTGATTATAAAATATTGAAAAATGTGTTTATTTCCTTAATTCTCTGGTTTTTGCTTTTGCATATGCACAGACAATTTCTTTTTGTTGAGGTTTTATCTGATAGGAAGTAAAACAAATTTAGTTCTTTACATGATGTGTAACAAATTCACATATGGCTCATAATGCACGGTAGTTTTTGGACCATACATGTGTTCATTTATGTGATACATACATTATGCAAGGCATGTACTTTGTGAGGTACTCTATGCTTTAATGTATGTATGTTAAAACTGAACAAAAATCAATTTTGAATAGACAGATTTTATAGAACATTTGATTTTGAGGAGGTTACTTAAGAATATCCTGCTATTTAAGGAGCAAAATGGTGAAGGTGATAGTTTTAAGCATGGTGAATCTTCTAGTGGTTATCAGTTTTAAAAATGACTTAAGTATTCTTAATGTAAATAAATGTAATATGTAAATAATATTTGCATTCTTTAAAATCATCTTGCACTGTAGATGATTATCATAAAATTACTTCTCTGGTTCTATGGTAGTAATATTAAGGACTTTCATGATGATTGGAAATGTTTGCACTTTTCTTTTACTTATTTTAAGACTTTTTTTTTTTTTTTTTTTTTGAAAAGTTAAAAATTACATAGCTTGTTTGAAAAGTTTTAAGTCTTCTTCTTCTTCTTTTTTTTTTTTTTTTTTTTTAAATTCATAGCTAGATAAATACAAACCCTTTATTTTTTCTTCTCAGTTTGAGTCCTTTGTGTTGAATTGCAGTTTTCACTGCATTTTGTAAACAATTCAGTTTTTGACATCCTCTTTCTGCAGGGATTGTCTTTTTCTCCGTAGTTACCTTTTAAGTGTTGAAAAATCACATCACTAATTCTATGTTATGCGCAGGATATTCTAGTGTTTGCAGAGAGATTTCAGACACTGCTGCCAACACCACAGCAGCAACATGCAGCTGGGCATTCTGCTAGAACAAGAACTGCTGTTTCTTGAGCAAATACATTTTCATAATAGACGGGCTTTTTGAAAAATTTCCAGTAATATTGATTTTAATTCCTCTTCCATCACTTTCCAGGGTCCATCGTCATGGTGGGTTTGTGCTTAGAAAGAGCTCTTTTCAATAGGCCAAAGGCACAATTGTCCATATGTGAAATGTCAGGAATACATTGCGAAGGTGTATGTGCAGTATCTGTATCAGTCTTAATTTGTATCTGTATCAGTCATTGGCAAATTTTCTCGTTACCAACTTGTCGTTCTTTTTTAATAAGAACCATTAAAAAAGGTATCTACCATTTTCTGTTTGGTAAATGCAAAAACATACCCTTCAATCGATAGTTTGTTTGGTAGCAAAATTTTTAAGGAATGAATTTATAAAAAGCAGATGATATTTCTCATTTTAAATAAGTTCATGCCAGAAATTTTTTATTCCAAAATTTTTTTTTTATCGAATTCATTCTAAAAATGTTCAAATACCCTCTGTAGTCTTGGAGGCATCTTCCCTATTAACCATGACAAAATGTGCTAGTAGCTTCCATTCCCTGTGACCATATATTAACAGTTAGAGCTTTCCAACTGTAAGTTCAAACATGTTGATGTCTGCGATTCACAAAATTCTGAACAGGGTTACCACATCTTATATCAGGAAAAAGAAATAGAAGCAATTTAAAAACTTTTCAACCAGTCCTTCTGTATCTTGTGTAGTAATTTTCTTAAATTCAGGTATCTTTTGTTTCTGTTATGTAGATATTTTGGATTTAAGTAACCTTTTATTTATTTCTGCTTTAAAAGTTTTCATTTATATTTATTTTCACTTTTCCTACGTTGCTGTGTATCATTTTATAATTTGGTTCCTGCTTGGTATTTTATACTTCGAATTTTCAATCTATGAAAACTATTACATTTATATATTTATATTTAAATAGCATGCTTTGTATTTATACTTAGATATCATTGGAATTTGAAATTCTTTATGTGTGTGGTTAAATTTTCTTAATTTGATGTTAACCCCCTTCACTTTATACTAAACAATTTTTTTCTTTCTTGGTGTTTTATGAGCTGAATTTCAAGCTGTTAAAGAGAACATATTTATCAGCATAGAAATGTTTTTTAGAGAATTTTTAGGTTTTTATAATTCAATTTAAGCTATGAAGAATGTCTCATTAAAGAGAAAATGTTAGTTGAATAGTTGAAACATTTTTATTCAAAAAATGCTGCTCTTTAGGAGTGTTTCCATATTTATACTGTAATTTATATATGCAGTATGTAAGTAGTATATTAATGAGTTACTGAAGATAATCTTTCAACTGTTGTAAAGTAATAAATTTCCTGTATTTTGTCTGTTATTAAGGCTGTTTAAAAATAGATATAAAATTCCTATATGATCATTATGTAAGATATTTTCTCCGTGTGTTTAATTTTAGGTTAATCTTTTTTAACCTGAGTGTGATTATTCAGACTTGTATTAGTAATTGTGAAGCATCGTTTTATTATAGTATTCAAATCTCCTTTGATCGCCAAAATCCAACAGAGTTTCAACAGAAGTCTTTGCTATCTTGTGACTGTTGTAATAGTCAGCACCTTCTTCACTTGCAGTTTTAGTATAACTCTATGCCTCTTCCTTTTTTTGTGACATTTGAAATTACATCCGCCATCACCTAAATATTGAAAGCCTGGCTCAGTCAAATTGTACCTCAATGTTTTCCCAATTGATCTTTTTGGAGAATTTTACACTTTCAGTTTTTTGGCATACCACTTAAATTATTGCCTGGACTTCTTTATATTATTTAAATTATTGCCTGGACTTCTTTATATTATTTAAATTATTGCCTGGACTTCTTTCTTGATGCACAGACATTCAGGTGTTTATTTTGTATACACTCTTGCACATAACATTGGGTGTGTCTACGTTGGTTCCGCAATGCGCTTACTATCTGCAAACCATTTAATCTGTACCTGGATAACTGAGAGTACACTGCACACCTTTTGTGACCTGCAAAAATGTACTTTCCAAAATATGTCATAGTGTCCTTTCCCCCCTCTTTTTTTCCCCAAATTTTTACTTAATTGGTGCTTGAGGGGTTGCACTGAAGCAAAAGCTCAATTGCCATAAAAGTAAGAAAAAGAAATGTGATAGATATTTGTAACTTCTTAGAAATATCTATATAAATTCTAAATGGAATTTTCAAAAAAATTTTTTGAGTTTCGGTCAATTTTTTTCAGTGGAAATAAAAAATTCTTCCAAGTGTGATGTTTCTTCTCTGTGATATTTCAAATCAGATACTTTATAAATGTAATCATTTTGTTTTCTAATTAATGTCTGGATTTTTTACAGGATCGTTATGGTTACTAAGGTGATGGTTTCTCATATCTGTTGATGGTGCCCTGCAAACAAAGTTGTACATTCTAGAAAAAGATTTTCCTGCATATGAAAATGGAAAATTGTATTTCGAAAATAGGATCTGTTTGTAATTAAATTTCTGTTGTAAACAAGCTGGAGAGTTTTCTATTAAAGTTCTTCTCTAAAGATATGCATTTTTTTTTTTAAAGATGTATTTTTAATTGTATTTTCCTAGTATTTATCGTAGTAGTTTATTTCTGTACCATTATTAAACAAGATGTGCTTTCATTCAGCCAATGGCCATGCATAGGATCTGTGTTTAATATGAGCAATAAAATCTCTGTATTAAAGCATTAATTTATTAACATAGACATTATTCTGATGATCATGTGTAAAAGTTATTCAATTTTGAATCCTTAAAGTGTTTACGTGTTTTTAAATTAGGATGTGAATAGTAAATTAATCGATTTAATTAAATTATCTGATATTTCAAAATTCAGATTAAAGACAAAGGAATTTTGTTTCAGGAATTTTTGAAAGTTTCAGGAATTTTGAATAATACCAATCCGTAGTGTAGTATAACACCAGTAACCAGTAGGAGGTCAGAAAGAAGAATGTGCTTGTTTCTCCTGTAGGGAGCATTACTGTTTCATGGCATGTATTTATCAGAGATTAATGGCCAACTGATGCTTATAAGTAAAAAAAATCCTAATTATTTTAATGGATTTTGTTTGGTGTTCAATAAGTAACCAAATTAAAATGTTGTGGCATCACTGCATGAGTTGATAGTTATAAGGTGATGAATGCCAAAGTAATAAATGATTCATCAGGTTTTGGGCCTTGTTATATAGGTTTCTGTCATTGTAGAAGTGCTCAAGTGATATTAGATAAAGTTTTTCAATGTCTGATATGTCGTGCAATGGCAGCTGTGGTCAACATATTAATTGTAAGAATTTGTAAAATAAAGGAATATATTTCTTTAACATGGAGGAGTTTTATTTAGTGCCGAAATGAAAGTTAACAAGCTAAACACTCCATGGTTTTTGGTGCTGAAACCCAGGATTAGGTAGGCCTTTAGATGGGATTTAAAATTACAAATCAAAAGTCTGTAAAGAAAATGGCATTAAGGTAAGTGTCAAACTTATTCCTGAATTCTTAGCCTGGTCTTTAGAGGGATTTAAAATTACAAATCAAAAGTCTGTGAGGAAAGTGACATTAAGATAAGTGCTAAACTTATTTCTGAATTCCTTTTCAGAGTGTATCAGTCTCTGAAACAGAATTCTTACTTTAATTATTTTCTTAAACTTGTATGTGAATCATGGAATCCATAATGAAACTTCAGAAAAAATATGCCGTTATTAGAAAAAATTTAACTTGTATTTGTACACGAGCTATTGGAATTGCAGATCGGCAGAAATGAAATTATGCTGTTGAAAATTAACGATGAGAGATAATTGGAAAAAAGAAAATTCTCGATAAATAGGACTTGAAGATCGATGCTCTAATTACTGATAAAGAGTCTTACAAGGATAAAATAAATTACTGTGAAGAATATAATAAAAAATTTATTTATTATAAAGTAAAATTAGCTAATTATTTTTAAATTGTGCAAACATGAGCAAAATATAGTTCAAATATTTGGAATTCAGATAATGTTTCTGAAACTACTGGAACAAGTTACCGAAATTTATAATTGAAAAATTTTCCAGTGATGTCAGTTTATGGTTGGAGTTTTACAGTGCATTTCAAAATGCAATTAAATTAAACCCAATGTTATCAAAAACAGAAAAATTTGTCAATTTAAAGTCTCTAAGCTGTGTTGCTGAATTTGGTTTAACGGAATCAAATTATGATATATGTCTTCGGTTATTTAAAGATATGGCCATAACGATTTAACTTGTACAGCGATTTAGAAGTAACCAACAAACTTAGATTCATTAGAAGTAGTGAGTTGTTGTTATGGATATTTACTGGTACCCATTACTTTAAAATTGTTACCTAAAGAATTAATTTTAACCATTCACAGGAATCGTAGGTCAAATGACATTATTGATGTATCGGAATTCATAAAATTTATTAAGTACGAGCACGAGTAACACAAAGCAATATTTCTCATAAATAGCTCCAAATCCACGATGAATGTGGAAATTTTTAATATAGGCCTTTGACATGCCTATGGTTATTAGACCGATGTATTCTTAAACTTTGGAAACATTTGTATTTATAACACCTTATTCCATTGATTTTATTTTTACCATTAGCAGATTTATAATCAGTTTCGTTATATTTAAAACAGTTAAAATTTTCATTCTTTATTAAACATAATAGAGAAGTTTGATGGAATTTTATTTCTAGCTGAAGTGATTAATTCTGTGGTAAAAATTTTTTATCTATTTCTTTTCTCAAGTTATTATGCACTGCTTTATTTAATATGCATTGTTTGTCTTTTCAACATCGGGTAGAGTGTCTATAAAATGTTCACACATCTTATTTGCCAATTTTCATTTTAATTGATTGGTAATTAAATTTTTTATTGTCATTGGATATTTTTTTTTAGTATTGACTCCTCAAGGGCTTTTCAGTACATGCCAAGATGCAGAAATTCTTTCTTATGAGAAATAAAATTTTGTTTGAACTACTTGTCAGCTTGAACCACTTAAGTACTTTTATAATGCAATTGTAATTTTTTGCCAATCAGATCAACTCATGCAGCAATAAATTGACAATATATAGTGGGAGGAACTATGACCGAAACGTAAACCAATATTCTTCAATGTGTTCATTCTGCTCATTTGACTTTATGATAATTTGAAATAAATGCTGATATCATCCTTTCTTTCATACTGTGTTATTAATTATAGTATCATCATCCTTGTTATTTTCGAGAGTTTCGGAATTGGCATTTTGCTTCAGCTTATTGTCTAATCCGAGTTTTCTCAATTCAAACTCGCTCTTTGTTTTTTCTAAATTAATTTTCTCTTCCTATTTCTTCTCAATAAGTTTGATAAATTTTTTACTTCAGTAATTACACTACATAACTGTGCAATTCTTGGATTTGGTGGGATAACTAAACTCATCTGCCAGTGAAATTAAAAATAAATAAAAATTGTACTCATGATTTCAAGCTTGTTTAATAGCTGTTGTTCTTTTTGCCAGGTACAAAATATCAAAGAAATTCATAAAGGCCTTTTTTTTTTTTTTTTTTTTTTTTTCCATCTATTTTTATCTCATTCTCTTCAACATTTGATGTGGGTTTGATATCCGTTTAAACTAATACAATGAATGAATATTTTTATGTAATAAATGTAAACAAATTAACACAAAAGCTTTATTTTTCATCAGTGTATTAAAATGTGTGCACAACAACCATTACATCCAAAATTCTGAACGCTCGTCATGCTCAGTATCATAAAGGCATTCTTCAAAAAATCTGTTATTGATTGCAGTTTACGATAACTATAAAAGTAAGAAATTTTACTTTAAAAACTGCATATTTAAATAGATACTTGGATAAACCAATTTGCATGGAACGGCCACCTGAATTTATCTCAATCTCAGCAAAGTAAACAAAAGTATATGGAATACTGTAACCAAGAACATGCTGGTATGAAGAATAATGTGAAGTTCTTAAGAAAGAGAGATTAACGAAATTAAAATGAAACCCGTGCACTCATATTTATAAATATAAGGTCAACTATCTTGTTTCAGCAGTATACATAGATGACTTAATGGTTATTGGTAGTTCAAATTCTGAAAAAGATGACTTTTGAACAAAGTCATCATTTTTTTTTTTGATGAAACATTTCTCAACTTTTGAAATCATTTATGTTACAAGAAGTCATTAAAACACATATTTTTTGAGGAATTGACATCAGACAAGGAAAACTTCTTCTCAGTCAAGAAAACTACGTAATTAAAATTCTAGAAAGCTTAGAAATCAACGAGAGTAAATCTGTTAAGACTCCAGGAGTGCTGAGGGGAAATATTGATGTAGCATCACCTTCACCAGTGTCAAAAACAAAATATCAGGAGGCATTAGTTTGATTGATGAACTCAGCAATAGTGAAATATTAAGATACATTTTAATGGCATAAAAAATGCATCACATAATGGTAAACTAGATGCTACTTTAGATGCAAGCTCATGTTACTGAAAATGGAAAATCATTTGGAGGTTATTTTATTGGACTAGTTAAAAATTTCATTTTCATAAATTGGAAATTCAATAAACAAAGAATATTTGCTTTGTGTACAGTGGAAGCTGAAGCATTTTGCGAATTTGTATGTGAAATTAAATAATACATTTTTTTTTTTTTTTTTTTTTTTGAAGAATTAGGACTAGATCTAATTGACAAACTCAGAGAAATTAAAACTGACTGCCAAGCATTATTAGATTGGATAGAAAAATCCAAAACAAAGTAGTGATTCAAGGCACACTAATCAAAAATATTTCTTTGTAAAAGATGAACATAAAATGAAGCAGATCATTCCTAAGTTTGTATGGTCTCAAAATCAAGCAGCAGTGATGTTTTAACTAAGTATCTACCTACTGTAAAAGTGAAAGATGAATTTTCAAAGTACGGATGTAACTTGATTAAAATACAAAATACTTTTAACACAAATAAGTAGGGGGAATTTATGCTATTTGTTTATAAAAGAAAATTTTAAATCTTAGTATGTAGCAACATTGAAGATTTTCTTGATTGTAAAAGACTGACTTAATGTATCTGGCGTCAGTAGAGAATGTTATGAATTTGAAGAATGTTGGAGCTCTTACTATGGTAACTGTTCTTTAATATATTTTTATGCATTAATTTTTAATGTTTATGTTTGAAGTAGATGTTGCTTAGAAAATATAACATTTAGAAATCATTAAACAAAATATGAGTAAATCTCTAATAAATCAGACTGGATCGCAGTTAAAGTAATAAACAGAGGAGCGTTCTTCCACACTACATTTATTCACGAACACCATAGACGAACTGAACATATACATAATTGACATCACAGTTTCTTTTTACAAACAACACTACCGCCATCTATTGGCGATCTATGGATACACAATCCTAAACTTAACAATCATCAACAATAGGGAGAGCTGGTCTTTGTAGTAAAGCTTACTGTAGTTGCAATTATCATAATTCAAAAAATGCATTTAATGTTTATTATGTGTAATATATTGTTCTATATAATATGCCTATTTTATACTGAAAAGCAACTGAATTAGGGATGCTGTCTAGTAGCGCGTAGCACAAAGTTTCTCCTTGATGGCGGCATGGACTACACAAGACACTGGAAGCGATGTAAAGCCATAGCGATACGTATCCACGACTCCTGAATAACCTCCCAAAAGTTCACGAAGATTAGATGGAAGGTAGTCGGAGCCTCAAACATCTCTCTCAGTTGTATCCCAGATGTGCTCATCGGATTCAGGTCAGATGACTTGGATCGCCAAAAAAGGACGTGCAGTTTTGTGGAATGTTTACCAACCATTCCGATGCAATTCGGGAGTAATGACATAGTGCATTATCATGTTGAAAGATAATCTCTGTAGTGAGCTGTCGAAAACGAACATACGGGAGCAGGTCAAGGTTATCCCGGTAACATTTACCTGGGAGAGACGATGTCACACGTACAGGGGTTCTATTTCGGTCCATGTGAACACTTCCCAGACAAGAATACCACCTCTAACAGCTTGAAGAGTCTTCTGCTACCAGGAAAAATCCATAGCGTCATGTGGTTTACACCGTACACGTTCTGTGCTGTCGGCATGAATCTCGACTCATCACTCCAGACAACATTTTTCCACATCTCTGACGGTACACTGGCAATGTTCCCGTGTCCATGCTAATCTTTGCGCCATGTTTTGCAGTCAATAGGAGGGCTCTCGTAGGACGATGACTCCTATACCCTATTGAGAGGAGATGAATAGGTGTGATAGTGTAGAGTGTGATAGCTTATATGTTGTTGCTTTGCACCACCGTGAAATTGCCGGATGATCTGTTACGCTGTGGCCTGTCTATCCGCTGTTACAATGCGGGCTAGACGATGACGACCTCGGTCATTCACACGCTGTTGTCCGCGGCAGTTAACCTTGACAGGAATGGCTTTGCCGGAATCGACATACCCTTGACCCGTGAATTCAAGTGTCTGCACTACTTCCGAAATGGATTGATCTATATGTCGGGTCCCGACAATTTGGCCACGATCAGATGCGCTTAGATGCGTACTCTTATCCATTTTACTTTTGACTAATATGGATACTGTGAGCAGCCTTCCTTATCTTGTCAAACTGCTGCTTACGTCATTTGCAAGTCACTTCCAGGCTTGCACACAGCTCAAAATTTGCTTAACATCAGCTGTCCCAAATTCAGTTGCTCTTCAGTGTGAATACCTAACTGATAAGTTTTGGATTATGTCATAATTTATTTTTTACAAAAGTCTGCTCGGAGCTTCAAGTAGAATATCACTTCCGGTTTATCAATTTGAACCCAAATCTACACTCATGTCCATAAATTAAGGATAATTCGGAGTCACGTGGAAATCGAACTCTAAAATATCACCCGTAAAATCACTACACACATCTTCAAGAATCGTATGCAAATTTCAGGAAGTAAGCAGATGACACCGATGGTACGTGACAATGACGAGAGTGTAAGAGAGCGATATATAAGGAATACAGAAAAAGAAAAATTGTTCGCAGGCGCTTTATAAGCATTTCAGTGCAATAACCGAATAGCTATGACACAAAGGACGCATTTGGATGATTTTTTACGTGGTAGAATTATCAGCCGTCTGGAATGTGGGCGTACCCAACTAGAAGTATCAGATGAACTTGGAATTGCCCAGAGTGTCATCTCCAGGCTTTGACAACGATTCGAAGATGATGGTAATGTGAGTAGACGTTACAACACAGGTCGCCCCAGAGTTACAACGCCGAATGATGACCGGTATTTGGCAGTTACTGCCTAAAGAAACAGGCGGAGCAGAGCCCCAGACCTGTCTCGTCAGCTCTCTTCAGCCACTGGCACGACAATTTCAAGGCAGACAGTGTACAGACGCTTAGGGCAGATTGGTCTATATGCTCGTAGACCTGTCAGATGCGTTCTACTTACTGCCACTCACTGTCGCCTGCGGTTAGCCTGGAGTAGAGAGCATGCATTGTGGACACCGCAACAGTGGGTTGTTTGATGTTTTCCGACGAGTCCAGGTTTAGCTTGCAGTCTGATTCTCGAGGGCACTGCACATTTTTCACGTCTTCTGCTGTATCGATAAACCCTAATGACTCTACAAACTCTTTATATAAAACCTAACTCTTCAGTGGTTGTGAGATTAGGCATTTCTTTCTTTCGAAATACGCTCAATATCTGTCGGTCCTAAATTTCGAATGGGAGCTGTGTTCGTTTGCTCCCACTGCGGTGCATAACTGGAATGCGAGCTGAGCTCGTTCATGACCATCAAAAGGTTAAACACGGAAAATGGAAATTTTTGGAATTATCATATATGAGTTATCGTGGACGAAAAAATTATCACATACGAGCAACATTTTAAAAATAGTAAAAACGAGTTGTGGGAACCCTAATTAGTGCTTATTTAACCCTTTAACCTACGATTTAGATTCGAAGATGTTGGGCCGAAATTGTATACAAGGTCGCGCAGCGTTCGGGACATTTGCACGACTTGTGTAACACGCTAATCCGGGCAATCGTAAACATGACGAATTATGTAATTTTCAAAGAAAATATAGGCGAATAATTATGGATGATACTCCGATGACGATCAACTACCAGAGTCCTGGCTTTGGAAAGAAATAAGAAATAGTCCAAAAATCTGGGACTATACGATGACTCCTGGCATAAGAGAGGAAGCCTTATGTCAATTAGGAGGAAGTAGAGAAGAATTTGATATATTTAATCTAATACTTGATGACATATTTTGGAACAATATTGTAACCGAAACGAATCAGTATGCAGATCAAGTACGAGAAAATCCACATAGAATACGAGTGTAAAAAGTGTAAAGTTCTGTTTTACATGTAGTATCAGAATGCTTTGAAGTATATCATACCGTTACAGATTACTAATTTTGTATTTTGTATAAATAAACATTTTGTAATACTTGCGTCTACCAGAATTATTGCATCAGACTGTAATTGCGTATCAAATATTCCATGTAATATTCACTTCTGGCCCGATCACCGTATGCGGGCTATGCCCGTGAAAGTTAGGTTTGGCCTGACCATCGTACGCGGGGCTATGCCCGTGAAAGTTAGGTTTGGCCCGATCACCGTACGTGGGCTATGCCCGTGAAAGTTAGGTTTGGCCCGACCATCGTACGCGGGCTATGCCCGTCATTGTAGATTAAGGGGTTAATGAAAACTAACTATCCAATTTTTGGACCGAAAACAGTACCTCCTTATGTGTAGCGGTTAGCGTAAGTAAAAAAAAAAAAATAATAATAATAATAGTTATACTGTCATCTATTGATAGAAGATTAGTTAAATCTTTCATTTCCACTAATATGTGTGATAAGAACTGCGGATTATGAATTTATGCTTATAGTTATCGAAAGAAAATATGCTACTTTCACAAATTGGTAATTGTGAAAGTAGTGTATTCGGGGGGGGGACGGTGAATGTGTGTAAGAAAATCTACGAATGATATTGACATAATGCAGATCTACAGCTGCTGACCCTCCTGGTAAAATTCGAAGATTGTCAATTTTTTAACAGTTTTTCATCACATCTCCCAGTTTTCAGTTTGTCTGTATTTAAAACATTACTGTCGTATGTAAATCAGGAACAGTTGATAACTAAGAGTTGAAAAGGAAATGCTAAAGGAATGGAAGAGATTTCGATGACAACATTTTAAAGAAACCTATGGAAACGGCTTTCCATTTTCTTAACGAAATCTAAATTGAAAAAATTTTCATTCTTTTTCCAAAGTGATTTTCTAGTTTATTTTTGATCTGATATGTTTTAATACATTACAGAGATTTTCAGAACATTCTTAGTCTTAAGTAATGTTTAATAGGTTAATTTTTACACTTAGTTTTGTTTCAACTTGTAAATGGCACATATTACTTTTATCCAATCGATTATACACACGCTAGTTATTAGTTTTATTTTCACTGTGTTTAAAAGCATTTCAAGTATAAAATTTTCTTTATCGAATAAAATTTAAAGAAAAACAAAATACAAAAATCTATTGAAATGAGGCCCAACCCTATTTGTTTATTTGTTACTCTAAATTTTAATTTAGTATTTTTACATTAAACCTTGTTGCAATTGCTTAATCATTTGAATTATGCAGTTCCTTTGAAGTTGCTTCACCGTGTGGGGTGACAATTTTTCATATTTCAAAGTTAGCAGGCATCAAGATCTCAGTTAAGAACAATTGATAATTAAGTTGGAATTACGTAAAAGTTTACATCTTTATTGATACGTTACATCACCATTTGCAAAAAAAATTCCAATTTTGTCTAAAGATTTCACTTAATTTTATCCCCATGGAGGAGGCAGTCGAATACCTACTGTGCAGCGCTTAGGGCACCCGTCGCCAGTCTTGCAACAAATAAGAGGACAAGGGCAGTCACCATTCCAGTTACAAATTTCATCATCATCATCATCATCATTATCTTGTATTTGTTGTCCTCTTTTAAATCGACGCCTGTATGCGTTTTCCAATATTCGATAGAGATAGATAGACATGTCCAATGGCTTTGTTGGTCGAATAGGTGATATTTTTGTCTGATTCAGATACGTTTCAAACGTAATTTCTTCTGTAGCATTTATCGTTGGTCTAAGAGTGGTAGTTTCCGTCTCATCAGTGGTAGTTTCTGTCTCATCAATGGTAGTTGTCTTGGTAGTGGGATGACGTGCAGTGGTAGTAGGAACCGGCGGGATACAGCTTTTCATTTCAGGCCGTCTTCTAGGACATGATAAACCTGTTAAAATAAAATTCAAATTATAAATCAAATAATTATCAATTATTTCCGTGTATAAGACGAGAAATGGCTCTGTGGCAGCAATATATCGCTAGTGCGATAATAAAGAAATTTTCCAGTTGACCTACTTCATTGTTTGGCGAGGAATGAGTATTACTGCAACTCTGTAAGACAGTTCTACGTGACCTTTCACACTTCTCTCGTCTTACTGGTAAACTCTACGCTCCGGGAACTGGCTGTAATGTGTTACACTGCTGGTTTGTACTGCTTAACATTGTGTCCTTCTATCAAATCTTTTCGATAATGTGTTTTTAATTTTCATTGTTATCAAACTATCAAGTATTAATTGTTAATATTATAGCTGGCATCAATTAATAAATTTGACTTATTTATTTATTTAGTTAATCTTAACTAATTGCGCTAAATTAAACTGGTAAGGCTGGACGTTGCGTATTTTGAAAGGATTAAGATAGATATCGCGGGTAGTTTAGTAGTAAGATAGATTAGTAAATTAAACAGACTGTTAAAAATCAATGTTGGAAGACATGTGAATGCACGAAAAAACTAATCTGACCGTTGTGATATGTAAAAAGTTAATACACATAAAAAAATCGACGGAACAAAAAATAATTAAAACATAAAATGCAAAAATTATAATGAATACATAAATTGCAAAAATACAATAATTACAAAGCGGAAAATGGTAAATTAACTCACTCGAACCCTCAACCAGGCTTTTCAAGGGGAAAATGATTGAGTGTCGAACTAGGCCAAGTACCATTACGCGTTTCGCCCAAACAGACCATTGAAGCTCTTGTTTGATGAGAAAAATTTTAGAAAAAACATGAATTGTCCCGAAAAAATCTTTTTTGGAGCTTCAATTCTCTGTTCCTTTTTCCCGACGCGTCCTCAGAAAAACACATTAAGGTGTTAAAAAAGGTAAATGCAAAATTAAAATCAAAATAAAATGTCTGCTATTAGTCAAAATTACAATAACGTACGGGCTGGTCCTGCATAGCTTAAAGAAGAAAAAACTTTTATAAAGATTATGGTACTGTAATCAAATTAATATGCAATAAAACTTGCAAGAAAACAAACGCCGTTGGGTCTTATTAGGACCAAAAAAATAAAAGAAACACATAAAACAAAAGAAACTAAAAAACTGACCTGGGTAGTGCCGACCTCTGGATCGCGTAACAGATTTGAAAAGGGTGCAAATCCCCTCCGTGTCCTACCAACCTTCTTTCTCGTCGTGTGACGTATGTGGGTGAAACAATGCAAATCTGTATAGGCCAATGGGCTGAGATTGTTGTTTTGGCGTGAACTCTTACCCCCCTTTTCTAAAGAGGGTGTAAGAGACGTGAAAAGACATGGAAAGAACTCAAAATGGCGTCAGTCAAGTTGTTAGAAGAACAAAACTGCTTCACATAAGTGAAAATGGCTAATTCAGCTAAGGTTGCTTATTTTGGCCACAAAAGAAAGAGTAAAATGGAAAAAAGTCATTTGTTGATAAAAGTCGTCATTCTTTAAGCTACTATGAAAAATGAAAAGGCCCGATTTGTTAATAATAGTAGAATTTGGCCATCTAAGTAATTCAAAACTATTAAAACAATAGTATTAAAGTATAGTGCCAAATCTTTGGAGGAAAGAAAAATGTATGACGAGAATAATCTGTACATTTATACTATTTTTACATTAGAATATCTGAATCAGCCATCCACTTTATACCGTCCCATTGGGCTTTAAGTATAAAATTTCATTATCCAAAACAAATTATCTAAAAATTGGTAAGGCTAATGCCAGCTTGTTTTAAGGTATTTTTAAAAAGGAATATCGGGGGCTTTTTCTTAAATGTCACGATGCAGTAAACTTCATACAAAAAGTTATTAGTAATTCTTTTATTTACTCCTGATATCTGATTTTGTAACTGCTATTTCTCCTGAATAATAATAAATGGATCCTGTTTTTTTTTTTTTTTTTTTTTTTTTTTTTTTTTTTTTTTAACTTATTGTCTGATAATTTAAGCTACGACTAAAGCTGGTACATCACATATATGTATGTAATAAATTCTGTAAATACCTTGACGATTAGAAGATAGCTGCGTAGATACATAAGATGCATAATGGAGAAGAAAACTTGCAGACGTGGCATAGACAAAACATAATTTCTTTTCTGAACATTCTCGAGATACATCATCTCAATTACACATCATTATGGTTTCGACATGTACCTCCACAATTTTATACAGCGGATCATATCTTTAGACAATGGACGAGCCAGCGGAAAGATGAACAGCACATCTTAGTAATAGCAAAGTGAAAAAGGGAAGAAAGTAAGTGCGCATTCGGGGAAAATGGTTAAAAGTTTCTTTAATCTGATTGGTGAAAAAAATGTCCGCAATGTTACGCTCATGTAAGATGGCATGATGCGGATTAATTTGAGAAGACGCAATTCAGAAAAATTAATATAAACAATTTCTACTTTTCGAACAGAAAAGGGGATATATACAAATTAACATTAGTAGAGGAAATGACAGTTCTGGACCGGGATCTTAGGGATCTGGAGTTGAGGGAGCTCCCGAGAAGGAAGGCTCAGCCGTGGAAGGGAGGCTTATCTGAAAATGGGGACAGGAAGCCTTATCAGGAGGTGGATGGGAGTAGAGTAGTTGCTACAATATTCAGTGTCCTTTTATAATCATTTCATGTCATCTTTATTTTATACCTGATATTATTTTATATCATTTACCAAATGTCTTTTATGATACTGAATATTGTTTGCATTTTAATAAATTAATTATTTGATTTAAAAGTTGTCTTTATTGTCTATATCAAACCTATTGTATGTAGCAGTTTTGTAGATATTCAGTCATAGGATAAATATAAGTAAGAACATAATTATCTTAAAGGTTATACTGTGAAGGAAACATTTTATTGTATAGTAATTTCAGTTTAAAGAAAATAACTGTATCAGTCAGTTAAAACACGTACTTGATATATGTTTTTAAGAACTCAATATAAGTAAGTAAGTGATCACATAGATATAAATGTCTAAATCACTAAATTAAAACATAGTATTCAATATGATTTGCATTTTAATAAACTTCTGATTTAGTTTAGAATGTGTGAATGAAACCCATTATATGTAGCAATATTATAGACATTCCACCTTAGGCAAGTAACAAAATAGTTATTTTCCAAAGACTGTGAAGTAAACATTTTATTATATATGTGTTTAAGGAAATGAACTGTATCAGTCACTTAATACACCTACTTCATATATGTTTTTAAGAACTCAATAAGCAAGTTTACACATTATCATATAACTACTAAATGTCTAAATTAAAACTAGTACTCACTATGATTTGTATTTTAATAAACTTCTGATTTGGTCTAAAATTTCTGTATGAAACCCATTATAGGTGACAGTATTATAGACATTCAACCTTAGGCAAGTAACAAAATAATTATTTTCCAAAGACTGTAAAGACTTCATTTTATTATATATCTGTTTAAGGAAATGAACTGTATCAGTCACTTAAAACACCTACTTGATATATGCTTTCAAGAATTCAATATAAATAAGTACACATTATCATATAACTACTCAATGCCTAAATCACCTAATTAATAAAACCTAAACACACGTCGTTTTTCTGTGATGTAGCAACTACTCTACTCCTATCCACCTCCTGATAAGGCTCCCTGTCCCCATTTTCAGATAAGCCTCCCTTCCACGGCTGAGCCTTCCTTCTCGGGAGCTCCCTCAACTCCTGATCCCTAAGATCCCGGTCCAGAACTGTCATTTTCACTCTACTAACATTAAAAAATTACGGTATTATTGCTAAATTTAAATTATAATTTTGAGTTTCATATTTTATGTCTTACTTACACATCCCTCCCTTCAAAGAGAAAATGGCGTGGAGATAGAAAAGTCTTTTTAGAAGAAAACATTAGAGCGTCTGTGATCAAAGATAAATATAGTTGATACAAAAATTATAAAATTCTGATCTAAGTAATTTTTTAAATAACATAATTTTCTATATAACATTTCGAACAATAAATGCCAATTTAAGAGCTTTTTTAAAAGGGAGACACCAAACTAGGGATGGCACCAAACCTTCGCCTGAGAAAGTCGAACTTTTTTTTAAATTACCGACAACCAGAAAAGGTTAAGGACTTGCAGGGATATTTGGGGGTTTTGAATTTTTTCGTCGATTTTTATCAAATATACGAGTAGCAAAGCACCAAAGATTTTCAACTTCTTATTTAAAAGGAGCAAAAGAAATGATAGGGAAAAACATTACTGGTCATATAACGCAGAACAGGAATTTCAAGATCGCAAAAAGCTAACTGCAAATGTCGTTTTACTGGCGCATCCCTAAAAAAGATACTGAGTTAGTTTTGCAAGTCGATACATCGTACTTTGAAATAGGTGGAACATTATCAGAGTCAGCAGACAAAAAATTGCAACCTGTTACTTTTTTACTCTCGAAAACTCGCAAACAGAAAGGGATTGTAGCGCGTATGACAAGGAACTATTTGCAATATATGCGGCTACCAAGCATTTCAGAATCGAGTTTTTTTAATTTTTTTATTTACTGATTGCAAGTCACTAACATACACTTTCCTGCAACTCTAGAACAAATGTTCCCTAAAACTGGCCAGGCAATTAGATTTCCTTTTCCAACTCATCACCGACATTCATCACATAAAGAGATCGGAAAACGTAATAGCAGATTCCTTTCAAGGATATTCACTAGATATTATAATGAAATTGCTCAAGCTCTAGAAACCGATTCAGGGCTAAAAAGTTTTAATAAAAAATTCCGAGATTCGCAGTTTTAAGAAAATCACATTGCTAGATTATGAAACACCCATTTATTTTGACTTATCAAACAAAGGGTACTGCTTGACCCGTGAATAAAGATGCACCAACTAACCTAGAAACTGCATTCCATGTGAGAAGGCAAAAATTACCAGCGGTACAAAATCCCCAGTAGG